TTATGGTTCTCTTCCTGTATTACTGTTACATTGGTTCTACTTCCTCTGTTTCAGCTTCCATCGACCATGTCAATGAGCTTTCCATCTTGCTCTCGGTGAAATCAACTCTTATCGATCCTCTCAACTTTCTTAAAGATTGGAAGCTTTCAGAAACCGAAGATCACTGTAACTGGACCGGTGTTTCGTGCAACTCTCACGGCAACGTTGAGAAGCTAGACCTGTCGGGAATGAATCTTACGGGCAAAATCTCTGATTCGATCAGACAGCTGAGAAGCCTCGTCTCGTTTAACATATCATGCAACGGATTCGACTCCCTGCTTCCGAAATCGATCCCTCCGTTGAAATCTATAGATATCAGCCAGAACTCATTCTCAGGGAATCTTTTTCTACTTGGTAATGAATCACTTGGGCTCCTTCATCTCAATGCTTCAGGTAATAATCTCTCTGGAAATCTCACGGAGGATCTAGGGAACTTGGTCTCTTTAGAAGTTCTTGATCTCCGAGGGAATTTCTTTCAAGGGTCACTTCCAAGTACATTCAAGAATCTGCAGAAGCTAAGGTTTCTTGGATTATCCGGAAACAATCTCACCGGCGAGTTACCAAGCATTCTCGGCGAGCTTCTTTCACTTGAAACCGCCATTCTTGGGTACAACGAATTCGAAGGTCCGATTCCACCGCAGTTTGGGAACATGAACAGCCTCAAGTACCTTGATTTGGCCATCGGAAAGCTCAGTGGTCAGATTCCTTCAGAGCTAGGAAAGCTAAAGTCACTCGACACGCTTCTCTTGTATCAGAACGACTTCACCGGAAAAATTCCACCAGAGATCGGAAACATTACCACGCTAAAGGTTCTTGATCTCTCCGATAACTCTTTATCGGGCGAGATTCCAGTGGAGATAACGGAGCTGAAGAACCTGCAGCTACTGAACCTGATGCGAAACAAACTCTCCGGCTCCATTCCTCAGGAGATCAGCAATCTGGATCAGCTACAAGTCCTCGAGCTCTGGAACAACACGTTCTCTGGCGAGTTGCCAAACGATCTCGGGAAGAATTCCCCGTTACAGTGGCTGGACGTTTCTTCAAATTCCTTCTCCGGCGAGATTCCTTCGACCCTGTGCAGCAAGGGCAATCTAACCAAGCTCATTTTGTTCAACAACACCTTCTCCGGTCAGATTCCGTCGAGTCTATCCACTTGCCAGTCGCTAGTTCGTGTCAGAATGCAGAACAATCTATTAAACGGTTCGATTCCTATCGGATTCGGCAAGCTCGAGAAGCTACAGAGGCTAGAACTAGCTGGTAATCATCTCAGCGGAGGGATTCCTGGAGATTTATCGGATTCGATTTCGCTTTCTTTCATTGATTTCTCCAGAAACCAAATCCGCTCGTCCCTCCCTTCCACGATCCTCTCGATTCATAATCTACAGGCGTTTTTAGTCGCCGAGAACTTTATCTCCGGCGAAATTCCTGACCAGTTTCAGGATTGTCCTTCGCTCTCGAATCTCGATCTCTCATCAAACACTCTCAAAGGGACTATCCCTTCAAGCATTGCTTCATGCGAGAAGCTCGTAAGCCTCAACCTGAGAAACAATCAACTCACCGGCGAGATCCCTAGACAGATCACGACCATGTCCGCATTAGCCGTGCTCGATCTATCCAACAATTCCTTAACCGGCGTACTCCCAGATAGCATCGGAACATCCCCGGCGCTAGAACTCCTCAACGTCTCCTACAACAAGCTCACAGGTCCAGTCCCTATCAACGGCTTTCTCAGAACCATAAATCCAGATGATCTGAGGGGAAATTCGGGTCTCTGCGGCGGCGTTCTTCCGCCGTGTAGCAAGTTCCAAGGGGAAACATCAGGTCACAAGAGTTTCCACGGGAAACGAATCGTCGCCGGATGGTTGATTGGGATCGCATCGGTTCTAGCCTTAGGGATTCTCACAATCGTTGCGAGAACTCTGTACAAGAGATGGTATTCAAACGGATTCTGCTTCTCCGACGAGACGGCAAGCAAAGGTGAATGGCCTTGGAGACTAATGGCGTTTCATAGGCTAGGGTTTACAGCCTCCGATATCTTATCCTGCATAAGAGAATCAAACATGATCGGAATGGGAGCCACCGGAATCGTATACAAAGCGGAAATGTCACGATCCAACACTGTACTCGCCGTGAAGAAGCTCTGGAGATCCGCCGCCGATATCGAGGATGGAACCACCGGAGATTTCGTA